GGTGTGCAGCATGCCCTGGCACTGCTGAGATCTGCATTACAAACACCCCAGACACCCTCCATCTGTCCTTTCAAGTATCGACTGTGCTCAGGAACTTATTCAGCAACACCTTGTCCTTGTCTCGCCTGATCAGGTCTCTCTGCAAGATGTTCACTGCTGATAGCAAGTGCCACCCTAGAACGGCAAAGCAGGGTCAGGCGAAATGAGACTGCAGAACAGGCTGTTTGACTGACAGCTCTTTCTGCTCCCCCCCTTCCCTCTGCATGGGGAATAAACAGCAAAGTCTGCCGCAAGTGCTCAGCACATCTCTGTCACCACATAATAATGATGATAATTATCAATAATAACAATAATCTGGATGTAAAGCTGGTCCAGCATTTGGGGCTAATGAATGCTGAATCTAATACCAGCCTTCCTGAAGCTGTGTCAGGCCACCAGCATTACAGTGTTTTTCAAAACTGAGAGAGAGAAGCCTGGGCACCTGGAGCTGCAGATGAGTGTGCTGGCCCCTTGCTGGCCACACTCTGGCAACTTGTTAGCAGCTGTGAACCCATTCCATTAGAGCTAAGAACATTTAATACTTTCTGTAATTTCCACTCAGATCAGCTGATGAGATTCTCTTGCATTCCTTTCTAGCCCTAGTAAAAGCAGCCCGTTCTTTCTTTCCCATAAACACTAGACACCATGCAAACCCACCACTGCTTGTCCCTAAAATGCTCAGAGGTGAGGAGACAATCTCTGTATTGTCAGCAGCTCCATTACATGCAGAATATCTGATGCCCTATCACACCGGTATGTTTAATTAATCAGAAGTTTCTCCATTGAGATTAAACATGGTGTTAATTTCTCATTTAGTCTCCCCAATACATCCTTATTAATTAGCATAGTAATTTGTTTAGTTCTTTAGGAACTGCATGCTATGGAAAATGTTCTAAGATGTCAAATGCAACTCATTAATTAGTCTAAGACATTTAAGAAAGACTAATTGATAAATATATCAGAGCACTGACTAATTGGTGAAAAATCCAGCATGAAGCATCCTGTCATCCCTTCCTTTGTAATAAGGTTCTGGAATTAACTGACAACTTGATTTTTCCTTCTTTTAATTAAGAACAGAAAACCAGTGAAAACCAGAAGTCTTTGTGTAAGGTGTCTATTCAATTTTCTGGTTATGCTTGAAGTGAAATCTACTTCATCTACCTCATTAGCTGAAAAGTAAGGAAATGAATCTACTCTGCAAACTAGAATTCATCATTGGGGCTGAGAGCTGATGTGGAAACTTTAAAACAACTTCACCACTCCTCTATTTATTTTTAAGGTTCCTATCCCATCACATAAATTAAAAGTGATTTCTACAAATCTGGAAGAGATGCACTGCACACATTTCTCCGTACAGCATATGGCAGCTTTTGAAACAGCCCAGTGTCGTAACATGTAGACTATATAGAACACACAGGGTAAAATATACAGAATAAAAACGACTGAACATTCACAATTACATCTCCAAGCAGTAACAGTCTCCCTGATTGGTTCATGGCCATACGCCTCACTCTCAGAGGAGTTTTGCTGATGTGTGAATATTTGCCCCCTTAATCACTGATACTGGTTTGTGTGCTACCACATCAAACAGAATATAAAACCTATTAAAGCATTTGTATACGTTTGGATTTCCTGGCCTCTAGTTCTCAGAAAAGAAGTCCACTGCCCTACTGGCCACTGTGGCATTCATTGTGCTTGCAGACGGCTGTCAGAAGAACATTTTTCCAAAAACTAGAGCTCAGAGGAAACTAAGCCAAGAAATCTCATGTTACACAGAGGCCAGATTTTGTCCTCAAAATCAGGTTGTGCAATGGTGCAGAGATGCTACTTATGACACCAGATAAAACAGACTCAGTAATAAGTGATGGATCTCTGGAGGCTGTCAGTTATAATAGCATTTGTTAATGCTGCAACTCTGCCAAGAGTCTTTCCAGATGCTGTCTCATGTTACTGTAAGAACTGGTCCACTAAGCCGAGTATAATATTCAGGATACCTGCCTCCTGCCCCCCGCCCAAGCTAGAAATAGGTATAGGACTCTGAAAAGCCAATGATTCCAGCACATGTGAAGCTGAGGAAAACACAGCTGTATTTGGTCCAAGTTGTATGTAATGATGAGTGAGAGGTTTAACCTGCTTTTCCTCTGTGCATGTATGCATGTTTTATTTACATGAACCATCAAATGCTGAGATTGTTGATGTGCCCTGTTAGTCTTATATACTAAGTGACTTTTCTAGATGCCTAGAAAAGGGCATCTGCATGTTATGGTGGATTTAAAGAGGATCAATACCCTTAACACAACCTCAGTCTTTTTCCTTGGGTCCTCTCAGACATACCCAGTCAGTCCATGCCCTTTACAGAATCATAGAATCATTGGAGTTGGAAAAGACCTTTAAGATCATCAAGTCCAACCCTCAACACAACACCGCCAGGCCTACTAAACCGTGTCCTAAAGTGCCATGTCTACATGTTTTTTGAACACCTCCAGGCATGGTGATTCCACCAGCTCTCTGGGCAGTCTATTCTAATGCCTGACCACTCTTCTGGTGAAATTTTTTTCCTAATATCCAACCTAAACCTCCCCTGATGCAACTTGAGACCATTTCCTCTTGTCCTTTCGCTAGTTACTTGGGAGAAGAGACCAACACCCATTTCACTACAACCTCCTTTCAGGTAGCTGTAGAGACCAATAAGGTCTCCTCTCAGTCTCCTCTTCTCTAGGCTAAACAACCCCAGTTCCCTCAGCCACTCCTCATAAGACTTGTTCTCCAGATCCTTCATCAGCTTCGTTACCCTTCTCTGGACACACTCCAGCAGCTCAATGTCCTTGTACTGAGGGGCCCAAAACTGAACACAGTATTCAAGGTGTTCTAGGTATCAAACCAAGTGTTTATTTTCAGGATGAATTAGCAAATAATTGGAGAGGGAACAGACTTTCTCTACTCTCTCTGGCAGCCTTCTCCCCTTGCTGCTGGAGTGGCACAGGCCTGGCTGCTTACTTCCACAATTAGCAGCTTAAATAATATAGAAGAGTGATTTCACAGGAGTCATATTCAAATCACTCCACAAATGCCTCTGAGGCTCCTTTTTCCCCAAAATGGAGCTTTTCCTCCTCCGCTCACAAAGCCCGATGGCAACACAGCTGCCTTGGTCCAGTCCAGCAAGGGAGCAGAGCCAGCACCCAGCATGGCTCCAGCATCCTCCTGGCTCCCCTGAAATAACAGCAGCTACTGTCATTTCTCACAGATTTTCCACGCCTGTTCTGAAATTATAACTTTTGCAAAAAAAAATAAATTAAAAAAAATCCATTTAGTGTCATTTGCCTGCAGAGAAGTGTTTAGGCCATCAACAGGTACTACTGGTGCTCTTGAAGAAAGGAATAATGACAATTCCTCTTCAGATCAATGATATTTACTTGTGTCTAAATATGCAGCATAGTTTACACCTTTAAACGACCTTAAGTAATCATTTTCTAGCCAAACAGAAAATCCATTTCCATTAGTTTCCAAAGACTCAGAAAGTATGTATGTAGGAAGATCACTTCCATAATTCCACCTCTTTTGAGTCACTGGGTAACATAGAATTTATGCAAGTGCAGGTCAATCAAATCATTTGGTATTTATATGCTCACTTTCAAGCTCCAGGGAACTTGAGTAAAATGCTAAAAATAAAATACACATGTTGTAATATGCAGAAGATTTAGATATGGCACTATTTTGACAGCCCAAAATAAAAAGCTTTATGCATAAGATCTCAATGGCTGGATCTGTACCTAAATCACATATTGATTTAACTCACTGCAGACAAGTTATATAAGCTTTGGAATTATGTATGCTTCATCAATGTGTTTTAAAAATGAATCTCTATCCGACTTAATCATTTAGGCAGGAGAAGTCGTCACATAAATATCCCTACATTTTACTTTATAGGACAGTAAACCAATTTCTAATCAAATCTGTAAGCAAACAGCATTATTTGTTTCCAAGAAATATCAATATTAAAATACTTTTCAAAGAAAATCTGAAAACAGACTTCAAAAATGATTGTTATATATTAAAACACACACACATTATATTCATACATGAGCATACAAACATGATGATCAGAGATAGGAGGCAAATGCAATACTCCTTTGTAATATCCAGGGATAAGGAGTCCCAGCACCACACTGAAAAAAAATTGGATTTGGAGTCCCAGACAGATGAGAAAGTTGGATGTGTTTGGTATTTTACTCCTCTGAAGTGCTGACAGTGATTCTTCACTTGAGTGCAGGAGCAATGCCTCACTTCAGCACAAACACACCAACCCTAATATGGTAGGGGAGCAATAAACGCTTACAGCTATACATGCAGATCTCAGTGTTTTAAAACAGAGGGCATTTCCTCAGGTTAGAGATAGGGAAACTGAGGAACAGAGAGGCAAAATAACCCCCTGAAAGGCACAGGGCAAGCTCAGGTATAAATGCAAAGTGTGAAGGCTTTTATTTGAATCAAATCTACTAATGCAAACCTCCTTTCTTAACCACATTATTGCTCAAATCTCATTGATATCAGTGGGAGCTCAAGAACTGATTCTGACCTGGCTTAGAGCTTGGTCAGTCACAAATACACTCCTCAGCTTTCCCGTAAGCTCTTGTGTCCTAGCTAGTTTTGGGGCAGTCCAACCAAAAGGTAAAAAGCTGACTCACTGTTGCAGTTTTTCTGCGTGGCCTTGGCAATAAAAATAAATAAATATGCTGACATCATTCACGGGTCATCCCCGGCAGCATGGAAACAAGCTCTGCTCCCAGCAGAGCATTGCCCTCACCCAGCAGAGGGTCAACCTCAGCACAAACCCATGGCCAAGTCCACACCGATACTCCCCAAGCTACTAACGCATGGAAAAATTGGGCAAAGCAGATTGCTGCAGCCTTGGGGGATTCCCTGCAAAAGCGTATAGTCAAACAAGGAGGGAAGCCACTTACCATACAGGACTGCAATGAGCGACACGGGCATGACCAGGATACCCACCAACATGTCTGCCACTGCCAAGGACATCAGGAAGAAGTTTGTGGCATTCTGCAACTTCTTCTCCAAGGACACAGCCATAATTACCAATATGTTCCCCCCAATGGTCAGCAGGATGACAACCAAGATCAGAAGGGCAGGCCAGTTCTTCTCCCTCACGGACATCCGAGAGACTTCACCCTTCTCAGAGGCATTAAGAGGATCAGATGTAGGCAAACTCTGATTCAGAGTCAAATTGCTGCTTAAGGACCAAGCCATCAGACCACCATGCAAACTAAAATCCAGCATAACAGACACTGTCGTTAAGCTGAGTAATATTCCAGTGCTACTTAAAGTGCTCATCGCTGGGACTGGGTTTTCTGTCTCTTAACCGTGCCTCAGAGATGATCCTTTTTCCAAATTGTGGGTCCAAGGCAAATGCCGAACTTCACAAAACCTGAGCCAGAAAATTGTTTGATCTTCCATAGTGAAGCAAACCTTACAGAAGCTAGTGTGGAGCTCTTCTAGTTTCCTTGAGTGTGATAGAAGATGACCACTGACAAGCAACCTCAAAGGAAAGGAGACTTTGCAATCTCCAGCTGGTTTCCAGGTCCACCATTCTGAAAAGGAAAGAAAAAGTATATTCTTCACTGAAATCACAGTATACACAACACCTTCTTTATCCCCATGCAAATGACATTCTTATTCCCTCTCTTTCTGCTGGCTAGGATGTTCTCCAGACTGCAAGTAATTTATCTTATGGGTACAGACTATGCCTATAATTATGGGGGAGAGAGGGAAAGAATCACATCAGTGTGCTCTGGCTGGTTAAAAGCTGATTATCACTAATTAAATGTTTTGTGAAACCTGCAAAAGCAAGTCTGAAGAGCAAAATATGTTTCAATTGATAGCCACTTCACAGATACTCTGTCTAAAATAGTAATTGCACAAAATTCCAACCAATCCAGATAACGCAGCCAAAGCACAGTGTAAACCATCACCTTAAATGGAAGTGTTTGGATATATTTTGCATATTTTACGATAAAGCGCAGGTGTTGTAAAAACCCTCAGATGTTAATGATTAACTCTCCTATAATAATGAAGACTATATTTTGGTTTCTATTGGGAAATAAGTGTTGGATAAGACGCAATATATATTAGGTAACTTAGATGATACTATGCTGTCAAACTCTCCAAATAAACAGATAACAAAGAGTTAAGAGAAAAGAAAGGACAAACTTTCATAAGAGTTAAGCAGTTATTTCTGCTCTTCTTCCTCCATTTTTGTGTCACTGTGCTTTCGTGCTGTCCACCAGCATATAGCTGGGCCAGCAAGCCAAGTCCAACCAGCCTGCTGCCCAGGACGTGCAAATATCAGCACCCTCATCACACACACAGTTGGTAGGATAGACTTCCTCAGAGTATCTCACATGATTTATGCTTCTTCACAAATTAGTTGACAGTGAGGGCAAGTCAGATTACATCCCCTCACTGCCCATGTAACACAGGCCAGAAAGCATCATGGTGCTGCCTCTGAAAGAGTCTCATGCATTGACCTAATTCAGCAAATTAAACATACTTTTAACTTCAGGCACATGCCTACACCCACTGAGGCTTAAGGGCATGTATTCCCAATCCTGGCTAAATCCCATCCTCAGAACTCAATCGTTTTGTCTGCCAGTCCTATACAACTGACAAAAACAGCAGCTTTGCATTTCCATTGCGTCAGAGTCAGGATCCTAACAACCATGTACAGCATAGGACTAAAAGCACAGAAGGAAAGCAGTCAGTAGAACATCAAAAAAACCCCATACGCTGTATGGAAATTGACCAGTAAGTAGAATAAAATAGATAGCAACTTATGTTAAGCATATCCTCAACATTTTGTGTAGTCCACAGCAAAAAAAGAGCTGTTCTATCACTGTTAAATAACTAAAGGAATTCCAGATTTTTGCCCTTGAATACACTGTGCAACACATGTGACAGCAATTTGCTATCCAGGGATCAAAAGCTAAATGTAATTCATGGAATTACATTAGATTTTATGTAAAATAAGAAGCACTCAGAGTCCTATAATAAAATGTTTAACATTCATGGAGGTTTTGGAAACTTACTAATGGGCTTTATGCACAAAAACATTTCTTAAATGAGCAATGAACCTAGATTTGCTTCTGCATTATAGTTAATTACTCCCAAAGGGTCTCTAAACCTCATATTTAGGAAGAAGTTTTGCACTATGTGCACAGAAAATAATTTTGCAGCTGCACATGCAGATGAATTAGTGCATAGTCACTGGATCATTTATTTTTCCAACTTAGCTGGTCTCAAAAAAAAGTCTCTAGAAAGTTTCAAAATACTTCAGAGTATTTTTTTCAAAACATAGCTTTTACTTTAAAGCTGTGAACAAAATAAACCATTTTTCCAAATCAACTTTCCACAGTGAAGGAGACACTAGGCAGCTTTGTGACACCTGAGCTTTGCTGTGCAGGACACCCCCATTAAAGCCAGTGAGAATTTCTGGCTCTCCAGAAACACTTTGGCTCTGTGACTCTTGGGCACTCCTGATCATACCACAATAATACTTTGGCAGGATGAGCAGAAAGTTCATGCCCAAACACGAGGACATGTTCAGACAGCAGGATGCCCAGCCTTGGCCTTACTTCTTCTCAGGTCTAAGCAGCTCCTGGAGGTTTTGGAGACAGTGACACTACCACCACTCACCATAGATGTGAATGAGTTGTTTGATGTTCCTGGCACGTGTTAGTTGGGGTTGCCAAAGGAACATAGGCAGGGAGATGCCTCAACTCTAGATCATAAGAAAAAACAAATAAAACCCACACCAACCTAACTGCAATATAAGATTTCTGAATTAAAAATATCTGATTTTATAACTGCTTGTGACTGAATTCTGAAATGGTCAGTAGGGTTGTGCTCTTGTGTGTTTCACAAATTTATTTGCAATAACATTTTCTTCCATGAATGATGCTGCATCAGAGCATGGAGTTAAAAAAATATCAGTAGACAGAATTATCACTTGCTTATTCATAAATTTTATTTTTAATAATAAAATCTATGTTATTTGGCTACTAGTGTACTGCAGAGCATAGGATTCCAATATTATACTAGTCACCAAATACAATTTGCTTTGAATTAAATTATCCTTGGGAGAAAAATTGTTTTTGTCAGGAAGGTCTAAGAAGGGGAGACTTCAAAATTCATTTGCTTGCTCTACATGAGTAGTTTTCAAACACACACAGACAGACTTTGAGCAAAATGCTTTCTACATAAAGTAAATTCTGCAAATCTGATACACACTAACTTCTCAGCAAGAAAATTACATTTTCTAAAGTCTTTCAGATTTCTGAATAATCCTCCCACACACACTCCTGTCAGTAGTTAAAAATGTACATGTTCTACGTGCAAGAGTAAAATTATGCTATGATATTGAGAAACTAGGGTTTTTTAATTATGTCTATAATGGTAAAAATGAATTGCAGACTCCAGATTCCATCTTTTTCCATAATTAGAAGGAATTATGATTGCTTTTAAAACTTGGCCCATTCACCTGTCTATTACTTGGAGTGTAACGAAGAGAACCATTACTATTTTTGTGCCAATACAGAACTAGGAAAAGAAAAGGAATCACAAAGACACCTAAAAAAGCGTTTTCCACGTGCACTTATGGAAATGCAATACCTGAAACAACTGGGTACATACGTAGGACGGATGTGTAGAAAAAAACCCAATGACATTTTCAGCAGCTCTGCCTTATCCTGTAGCCCCCAAATTCCTGGTTTGGATGGATAAAAGATGTTGGCACTGCTCTGTATGTCACCTTGTCCCTGACAGTGGCCAGAAAGAAGTTGGCAGCCCTCATTTTTGCTGCCACCGCCAGTCACGCCTGGGTGCAACCAGGTCCCCACACCTGGGAAATGGAGGAAGGAAGAGCTAATCACCACATGTTTTGATGTTGCCTAGATTCAGCCATCATCAGGCCTGGCATAAACAGTGACGGACCTTCACCTCTTACCTTGGCATAAACAGAAAGAAAAACATTACATGGAAGAGAGGCAACTCTTAGGTCTGAGCCAATGCTTCTGGCTCTGTTCTACCACATTTCTGTGAAAAACCCTGTGCTAGAGTCCTTATCGGGTCTCATTGATCCCTTTTTTTTCTCCATTACTTTTATTTATTGTTTTATTTTCAGTTTTCACTGCCTGGAGAATCATTATTGTTTGTCCCAGAATAACATCAGGTTCTCTAGTGGCAGGAATACCTTGGAGAGGACATCAGGATAATGAGGGTTTTCAAAAGCAGTATAGGTTTTATCCAAGACTATAATAGTAACCAAAAAACCCCCCAAACAAACCCAAACAACAACAACAAATCTATCTTGGCTGCCTTAATAGAGGAAGCACTTTCCATATTCATGTTGAAAAATTATATGTGGGAATTTGACTACAGCAATGCTCAAGATTGGGCTCCACCTTCAGAATTAACAATCCTATTGCTTTGTTAATACTTGTTTATTATTTTACATGGATTCTGGCTTGAAGTCATCAGCTTTCTTTTTCACTGCATCCCTCAGACTCCACAAGGTAAAACTTTATGACTAATTCCTTCAGCTACAGTCTTCTAAGCACATCACTGTACCAGAAAAATAATTCACATTTTATTCATGAATTCTGCATATATTTAAGAAATATCTCCATAATTTTAAATTAAAACCTATGCCTACCACAGATCTTTTCCAATAGCTAACTTCAAAACACACATACTGAATTTTGTGGTCAATCATCAATTCCAGTTCAATCTACTACTGACAGTCCTTAAAATTATAATTTAAACATTCAGCAAAGCCAAGTTCTTGTCTATGCTACTCTTGCTTTTTGATAGAGGTTAAGTAATAAGTTCTTTGGGCATGGGTTTTTTTTTCCCTTCAGTCTTTAAGTCGAGTTTAGAATAAGCTGAAGCTAGAAAAACATTTTTGTTTCTCTTTTCTTAAGAGCACATGAATTATTTAAAGCAAGAGTTTGGTGTACTCCAGTTTTCAGATATTCCAGAAGGTTAAGTCAAAGGGAAACAAAAGCTATGGTGGTTCTGTACTGGTGGGGCACTGGGCGGTTTCACACAGCTTTGCGAGTGTTTACCACCATTACTCTTGCTAAAGGAAAAAATCCTCAAACCTTTCTTGGAATAAATACAATTATTTTTTCCTTTGAATTAAATGCATTTGTCTTTATTTGTTTTACCCTTCAAAGCTCAGAACATTTTTTCCTGGAGAAAATCAGCTGCCTGCTGAGAACTTGAGACGTTCGTCAGCCCCCAGCCAGGATCCTGCCTCTCCTGGACAGACTGCAGAGCTCCCGTGCTCTCATAAATCATTTAATAACTCTCTGGGACTCATAGCCTGAATTTTAACAATGTGCATTTGAAATTG